GTACACGACCACTAGGCGATAGCCCTAGTGTGGTCTGCGAATCAGACTCTGAAAATAAACTATCTATAGATAATCTCACATGTGCATATGAAAGGTTAATGTGTGCTTACACTAAGTTGCATAATAGTTTTGTTAGTTTGAAAAGCAAACATGTAGAAATAAAATCCGATCATGAGACACTAGTATCAAAATTTGATATCATTGCTAATAAAAATGAAAATCTTAAAGAGAGGAATGAAAAATTAAAATTAAAAAATACTAGTTTATTTCGTAAGAAAAATAATGCCATGTTAGAAGTAGAAAATATTAAAAATAAAGGTAGTTCTTTTACTAACACTTATATATGTTCTACTTCTAATAACAATGTATTTGTGGAAGTAAATTAGTTAAATCGTGTTAGGGACCACATATCATCTTTAGATTCAACCCTTAAAACATGCATTGTAAATAATAACAAGCTTATAGACTTGTGTGCAAAGTTCTGTGTAAATTCTTCTAAGAAACTAACACACTATGCAGTATGCACACATGTATAACAAAATTTATAAATGCTCTATTTGTGGTCGTAAATTTTATCTTGCTAAATTTTGTTATAATGCACAAAAACCCTCAAAATCCAATAATATTGACACTTGTGCATTCCATCAAGCTTCATCACATCATACACATACACATGCACATAAAATTCATCATAAGCATGCTCATGTGTATAAGTGTGATTATTGTGATCGTTTTGGTCATTTGATCAAATTTTATTTCGATTTGTAAAGAGGTTCTCGTTTGCAAAATAATTTTAAAGAACCATCTATTTTTTCAAATGATCCCCGTGCACAATCATAATGTCAACGCAAATCTTTTCAACCTTTTTATTGCACATATTGCAATCGAAATGGTCATGAATATTGTTTTGATCGTGTTAGTGCACCAAATACGTCCAAATGAGATCATAACCCAAGGATCTTGAGCTTTAATGATATGGATCATGTCCCTAAACTTGCCGTCACCAAAAATATTTGGGTACCAAAAAAATTTTGATTATGTTTATTTTGTATTTTTGGATTTTTAGGTTTCATATTTTTATAACAATGTAAATTGATAAGATTTTAAAAACCACTCATATTTTCTCATTAAAAGAAAGCATTTTCAAATATATATACATTTACATTGTTAAAAAAATTTAAAATGATTTATTTTTGGATTTTTAAAACCGTAGTTCATGATTCTTGTATGGTTTGTAATCTTGGTTTGAACTATGTAGTTTTTTGTACAATTTGGTTTGTACTTATGAGATCGTTGTAAAACACTTTTATGATGATATTTATGTGTTTGAGGTTATAGATCATCATTTGTGCTTTATAATGTACCTTTATGTGATTAGTGTTTTATGTTTGCTCACATAATTATCATACTTACATTTCTTTGTGATGCAAATATGGATTGAAACAAGCTCTAAGAGCTTGGTATGATTGTTTATCTAGTTTTTATTATAAAAAATGATATTATTGATATTCGTTTATTTTATCCAAAGCATACCACTTTTTAATCCTTTGTAGATAAAACATATAAATGTTTTAACATTATTAGTTACTTAATCACTTGTTCTTCAAAAATAATAATTTGTAAATTAAGCATGCTTTTATGTTATTATGATTTAGATTTGATTTATGATTTTATTTGATTGATTTGATTTTTATTTGAAATTGCATGATTGTCATGATTCTCATGGCACTCATGATTTGTTTTCAATTGAAAATATTTTTCATGATTCTCATATTTTTTTCCACTCTTTTGATTTCATAAATATATATATCACTTGCATTGAGATACTATTTTCATAATGACATATCAATATGTGTTCTTATGGTCTTTTTGAATGTGAGTCTTTCATGATTTTTATACTCATATTTTTGATACCTTATATTTTTTTATATATGCATTAATGCATTTTGATAGGGAGAGCCTTCTTCACTATATTTATTTTATACCCACCTATGTTTATTTGTAGGGGGCTTTAGCTCTCTTTATTCTTATTGTTTTCCCTATTTTGATGTTGTCAAAGGGGAAGAAACAAGTATATTGTGAGTATATCTTGTCTTGGTTTTTATGCATGAAGCTTACACTTTCTATATTCATTTAATATCATGCATATTCTATATACTCTTTGTGTAGATTGTTTGTCATCATAAAAAAAAGAGATTGTTAGGTCTCGTGTTTATGAGTTTACTATCTAAATTTAGTTTTGATGATTAACAAATAATTCCTAACATCGTTTGTCGAGTGGTTGTATTTGTTTTGTTAGGTATTCTATACAAAGATCCTCTGTTGGAGGTTGGTTGGACTTGTGCTTTCACGATCACATCTCATAGAGGTTGGCGGAAAAGTAAAATGAAGCTATTTACTGTTCAAAATCAAATTGCACTTCCAAGCTTCATCCGCAACCAAAACGAGCTTTATTGAAGATCAATTCCTTGGGTATAATATTTTAGTGTTATACTTTGTGTGGTTATACTTAAAGCTCAAATTATTCATACTCACACATATTGTTTAATATATTGTGTTTTTGGATTATAGACAAAATAACAATGTTTTACATCTTTCCTAAAAGTCTATCAATCCATTAGAAAGTTTTTCAAAGTGTACTTGAAATAGCTTTTATCAAAATTAAGTTTTTATCGTTTTCATGCTTTCAAGTTTAGCCACATAAATATGGAACAAATGAATATAATCATATATACACATATTTGTTTCATGCTTATATGTGCTTTCATTAATTAACATGTTTGAATTCAATGAAATCATATTTATTGCATAACATATATGTATTTTTGATAAAACTTTGTGTTCTTGGTTTATGGACTTGATAATACTAGTTTATATCTTTTCCTAAGTCTATAAAGCCTTACAAAAGTTTTCAAACTTTAGTTTAAGTCAAAATGACAACAACAAGTGTATTGTGTTTTCATGTTTTTGACTATTTTGTAAAATGATGAGTTTTCACAAATAGAAAATGTAATTTGAAAAATTCTTTTTAAAACATGTTTATTATCATGTTTATAAATATTTTCTAAAGATTTATATTTTTTGGAATTTATTTGTTATTTTTAAAGGCACTTGCAATTCAATGTTCTGAAAATTACATATATCAGTTTTCAGTCGACCAAACAAGTCCTTCCGGTCGACCGACCATCAGTTTCCGGTCGACCAAAAAGGTTCTACCGGTCAACCGACCAGAAAGTGTTTTTCAGTATTTGTTTCTTAGGGTTCCCCAGTCGACCGACAATATCGTTTCGGTCGACCGATGGACACCCTTCGGTCGACCGACCAGTGTCAACCGGTCGACCGACTTTGTAACTGTTGCTTCCAACGACTAGTTTTTCAGACCCGATTTTTATGGATTTTTTGTCTTTTTCTTTGGCTTTAGGCTGTTGTATTGAGCTCATATAAATACCCCCTTTGTCATAACTATTTCTTACAACCAAGAAAGTTTTAAAAGAAGTTTAAGGGTGTTTTAAAGTTTGTTTAAGTGTGTTTTTCATAAGTGTTTTGTGAAGAAAGTTTTACAAGAAGAAGAAAAGATTAATTCTAATGTTTGAGCTTCAATTTCATCCATCTCCCTCTCTTGTTTTCATTGGAGAAGTTTTCTAAACTCAATATCTAGTTATTTATACGTTTGATTATCATTTCCATAAGCTATACTTTAATTGAGTTTATATTTCATTTTCACTCATTATTTACACACTAACTTGAGCTTAAGTATTTCATACATAGTATATAGGGGTTGTGAGTTTGTAACATTGAGTGTGGGCTTACATTAAGTTCTCATATATTGTAGAGAACAAATATTTTTCTTGTGTTTAATTGTGAAATCACTTTGTAATACACAAGTACACCAAGAGGAGTGTGTGGTAAGAGACGTGGTCGATACTAAAATGAGTGACGTCGGTAGTAAAGCCTAGAGAGAGGTTGTAAATCCGAGCACTTGAGGGAGGCGATACGTGAGAGATCAACACTCGAGGTTGTAGTGTGTAATTACCTTGTAAGTGATTGTGAAAGTTTTCGATGAGCTAGAAAATCAAGATTGTGTGGAGTTGTAAACGTTTTCGGTTAGCGTTAAAAACCGATTGAGATAGTAGAGTTCTCCACGAGAGTGGGGTGCGGAGACGTAGGTCGGAAGGACCGAACTCCATGATCATTTTCTTGTGTTTGCATTGGTTATTTGCCCACTATCTTGTTTATATTGTTTCATGTCTATTTCACCCTTGTGTTAATTACATATCCTTGCACATATAAGTTGTTGAATATCATACTTGCTAGGATATTTGTTAATAAGTTTTTAATTTGGCATTAATATCGGATTAGATTAGCAAATGCCCTATTCACCCTCCCCCTCTAGGGTAATTTCAAAGACATCCGACATAATTTGATTCCAGGTGAGGCTTGTTTCAATCTGTCTATCCAGGTTCTCGATAACATAGTGAGGTAAGATCTAAGTAGTTAAGTAGACCTAATATTTACTGAGCTCACGATGATTCATGGTTAGCTTCATATATTGTACCATCGCCTTTGACATTACTTACGAAATTACTTTTTTGAATCAATTTTCAATGAGCATTTTCATTAATTCAAATCTACTTACAAATGATCCCCTAGATTCATGAACATCTCATCTCCCACATCTCTGCTCACAAACCCTAAGCCAGAAAACCAGTAAATTGACTCCCCATTTACTCAAGGTGGGACTAAATGGACCGAAAAAAAAAACCCTGATCCACACAATCAAACCATTACGCTCTAACTGTAATTCCACTGACCAATGTCAAATAAAGTACTGAGCACTGCAGTTCTTGTTTTGAAATTTGACCAGGATGGTGAAATTAAAAAAATCCTAAATTTTCTACACTAAAAGTACTATTCGGCTCAGACATTTTCACAAACACAACATCTACAAATACTAAAAATTTAAAAAAAAGTAGGATTAGATGAAGAGAGCAGCAGCAGACCTGAGCCATGGTCAGCTGTTTGGCCTGATTAGACCCGACGAGCTCATCGTACTGCACCTTGATCTTCCTCTGCGTCGCGCTCGCAAACGTTGAGAACGGAAACCGACATTCGCCGACGCGCACCGAACGCCGCCTAATTTGACGCTTTCCCGCCGCCGGCGGATCCCCAGCGCCTCCGGCAGCTTCTTCTTCGCCTTTCCTCTCCTCTTCTCCTCGCAGCCTCCGCCGTCGCGGCCGTAGACTCCTCCGCCTATATTCTGTCGCCGCCGTTGGAGGATCGTGGCGGGCGGAGGATCGACGCAGGGGAGTCTTCTTCTTGTTGCTGTTCCGGTTCTTGATGCTTTTGTTCGAGGATTGACTCTGTTCTTGTCGCTGTTAATTTTAGTCGTCGCTTGCGAAAGAGAATGAGGAAGGAGAGGGAGATGGAGATGAGGAGGAAGAGGATCAACAATGAAGGAAGCGCCATGGGTACGAGAACCGCGACATAGAGAGAGGAGAGAGAAAATAGAGATAGAGAGAGAGAGAGAGTAAAGAGGTAAGAAACAGAGAAGATGAAGGTACCTTGGGGTTCGCTTTAGTAGTCGTCAAAGGTCTCTTTAAAAGAGAATACGTAGGGAGGGGGAGCGAGGGAGAGCAAAGGAGCTAAAGTTGTAACATGTAAAAACTCGGCACAATCAATTTTCTACACGCCGTTCACTGAACTTCATGATTTTTTTTTAAAAGAAGAAATCATGTCTTAGAGGGGAAAAGAAATAATTCCGAAATTATTGTACGATTCAGGAAATTCTTTCTTACGTTTTTAGAGATTAAACTAGACTATTTAGCACACTCCATCTTTGAAAGATCAGGACGCAAAAGGATCTGAGTTTATGGCTAAATGGCACTTAAATACCCTAATGCTTCACCATCTTTACACTTAAATACTCTTAAGTTATTAAAAATAGCACTTTAATACCCTAAGGTGTTAAAAAAATAGCACATAAATACCGTTACAATATTGTAAACACAGATGAGAAAACTTGTTACGACAAAAATACCCCTTCATAGAAATGAATGTCAAAATTAATAAAAAGAATGATGGTAGGTATAGTTGTAAATATGACAATAAATGGGGTCAATACAATTATAAAAAATATCATGCGCCAATTACATGGAGATATTTCCTAGAAATATTCCCAAGTGAAACTAACATAAGATACTAACATGTCAATTTTTTTTTTTTTGACAACGTAGGGATTAAAGTCCTACTTCTTCACAACCTAGGATCTTAGTGTTAATTTTTATAACTTGGAGTATTTAAATGCAAAAGCGGTCAAACAACAGGGTATTTTAGTGCCATTCAGCCTTATTTTCTTTCAATCAAGTAAAAAATTGAACTCCATCTTATAAAATCCTGGACGACTTGATCAGGCAAAAGTAACTTTAATGAGCAGAGATACGACGTGACATAATGTCGATCACGATAATCACCAGCTCGGCAAATGAACTGAAGTCAAGTCGAAAGTGACTATCTATCTTTTGGCGCAAGCTCATCTGATCAACTACGGACACGAGTGATGTTTTCACTCTATTAAGACTTGATTTGGCGTCGAGCCTCGAGAAATCATGTAAAAGACGAAACACGCCATATGGCCAATAATATTTGGTTCGATTAATACGTAGAATCAGTTAAAACCCAACCAGCTTGCTCCCCGCATCAAAAGTATCTACCGTCATCTCCCTTCTTCGATATCAGATATCACTGGTCTCCTCTTCTAGGGTTCAAGAAAGCTACACACATTTACATAGCTCAGAAAATTCGACCAAAACTTTGAAGAAAAAAAAATAGCAAGTCACTGTAGAAATTACAGAGACCTCCGAAAAATATTGCAGAGTCCCAGATAAAGGCCTAAAATCAGATCACAATTACATCAGGTACTAGTTGAGAGATCAAGGTCTCAGTTTGCTTGCTCGTTTACTCAATGGATGGAACGAATTTCGATTTCTGATAAGAGAGCTCACATATTGGAGTTCCATAGTTCGCAATTACCGATATTTATACCAGTTGATCATGATGATACATCTTACATAGTATATTTCCCGACTCTTGAGCTTCGGTTTCAGATTTCTCTTACGATCTTGATAGCTAAAGAAGTTGTAATGGCCAACATCTCTCTTCCTGTGGTCTTCCTTCTTCGCTTCAACTCCCATATCTCCTGCAGCTTGGCTCCATTTACTTCAGGCATGCAACAGGCCAAGCCTATGAATTCAAAACTGAAGTTGCTGAATTAAGTAGGAGATGTCATCAACCCAGCATGCATTTTCACAAATATCCTTAAATGAGGTTTCCAAACTCAACAGTTTGTTATTCCCCCGTTCTGTGGCTCAGGAGTCTTGGGCGTCTCACTTTTTCTGCAGATGATGGGAACAACCAAGATAAATTGGTAAATCGTTAATGTTATCCATGAAATATAAAGTACTAAAATTACTCACCTGAAGTTTTTGCGAAGCTCTTCAGCAATATGTCCAGAAGAAGCACCAGTTGAAAATCCTAACTGATACATGAGCTCTTCTAATCGTTTAACATCGGTTAGATAGAGATATCCAATCTATTCAAAGAACTTATGTTGTGAGATATTTAGTAGCACTGAAAGAAGTAACAGGTGAAGAGTTCTTTGCAACAGTGAATTTTATGTATTGTATGCTACTACTTACTAGTGTTTCAAGGGATGATGCTCTATTATAAACAGCTACTCCAACTCTTTTTGTTGTTCGAGTTTTACTTGTAGCAATATTTTTCCCCCAACGAAGTACATCCCTACACAAGAATTACTGAAGCTGTGATGCTACATAAGAAAAATATTTTGTAGGATAAATTGAACGAGTACACAGTTTGAGAAACCAATTTATGATTCGAGCTCAAATGATAAACGACAATAATGAACAAAATTTTCGGCTTATGTCTACTTTGTCTAGCTAGCAGAAAAAGTTTTAAGGGTAAAATGGGGATATGGCTCTCTTTGAGATCATAACCTTCTTCAGACATTCTGGACAGGAAACAGATTCTATTATGCGTATTTAACCAGCAACTTCTTTAGAAATAAAGAGGAAGATGCCCATTTTAGATACTCCCATCACTGTAGATACGTGTAAGTAGCTATTCAGCCCTAGGTACTTCGCTACTATGCATGGATTGAAAGAAAATTGAGGCCTATCAGATAGTTCTAAAATTGAGGCCTATTTGAAGTGGGGAGTTAGGTGGACTCCAATGTTTCATAATGGCAAAACAAAATTTTTGGCTGGAATTGCTAACTCCCGCTTAAAGGTCGAGTTATAACTTCAAGCCTTCTCACCGAAAAGTGATGCTTAATAACAATTCTACACTTCACATCGAATATAGTCACTTACCTTATGACAACTTAAAGGTGGAATTATAACTCCAAACCTTCTCACCAAAAGCTCAAGTTATATTTTCACATTCCATTCATCTATAATCTATCCTTTTTATGCTAAATACAGTCACTTATCTTATAAGAAATTTTAATTTATGCATGTGTTCGTGGAACTTGACAATTATTTTCATTTTATCATATGATTCACTTACCTGTGTGATGAGAGGTGTTTAGTTCATTTGACATAATACTGCAGGTTGGATATTCTTGAATTACATGCCCAATTTGTTGCATCCTGTATTTTTTAAATTACTGGATGACAGTAAAAGACTGTTAGCTTTTCACTCATCCATAGGTGGAAATTGGACATTATTATTGATTAAGGCAAGCCATAGTGTGCATGTTGTCAGTCTCCAATCCATCTTCCCTCAAAGCTTCTTTATGGTAGATGTACTTTTCCTTATCTTCTATGATTTCACAGGTTAGTGCACATGTCACGTGCCTTCATCCATTTTCTCACCAACTCCTTTGTGAGTAGGTATGTGAACCTTCTCATCCCCTTCTACTCTTCCTGTAAGAACTGTAACAAGATCGTCTTAGCATAATAAAGCATTCTGTTGTTTATCATATCATGTCAGCCGCAACACCTATGCTGGATCAGTATCTGTCAACAATATATTTCTGCAAATTACTCTGAACCTTAACCTTGCTCAGTTTTACATAATTTCATGTGCAATTAACTCAAATTTTGCTAAAACACTCTCATTACACGACAAAGAATTCCTAATTATCTTTTCTGATCTTTCAGTAGGGGTCCTTATATGTACCCTTTATATGTATATTGGGTTCAGTCTTATGACCAACAAAGCCAAATTGAAAATCAGAACCTAACATGAAACTGAAAAAAATGCACGAGGCTATGCTTGAGCTTGTGACGGCACGCTGGACATCTTCACTTAATTTTTACACTAACTTCTTACACCATAATAAACTGTTACACAGATATGAATTGGATCAGATACAGATATTACAAGAATGGGATCTAAACAATGAGATAAGCAATTTCCATAGACAGGACAGACACAAAGATTGCGTAAAGTAATACTAAAGAATGCAGCAAAAAAGTATTAATTTCATTCCAAAATTTTGAATTGTATGGAATTATCTAATAGGTGCCCTTATCATTTGAAAAGCAATTATTTATAGTTAATTCAGTGAAAGAAAAACAAGAAAAAGTGAATAGTTGGATGATATCCAGTGCAAAACCACAAACAATTCTAAGTCAGTAGAAAAGAAAATTGCACAAACTCATCCAAAATTCACATAGACATAGATCACAGACATGGGTAAGCTGGAAAGTATTGTGTTGTAACCTTTCTTCTTCTGTTAAGTAGTCCTCACTGAGAAGCTTCTTAAGCAATAAATCCTGTAACATGAAACAAATATTAACCAAATGATGTAAATAATAGGAGTTCAAATATGGTGATGAGTATCAAAGTGATTTCTCTTTTTAAAAAATAAGAGTATCAACGTGATAAGTTGAAACGCCGAAAAATCGTCGACTTGAAACAACAACATTATCTCACATCCTGCTATTAATGTAACATCACAATTCTACAGTTAAAAAAATAACGCCATCCCTGACATTGTAATATTTTAAGTCATTAATTCCTATAAATTCATCACATTTATTTATTTTGTGTAAGGCTATATCTTCTTCATCGAACCTCATGTTGTGCTTAACAAACAGACTCAAATCTGAACCATCTGAATCTTAACTTGCAAAATATGCAGCAGATACCATGGGAAAAAGTATGCAGCTTATAATTTACAGCAGATTCAAAATCATTGCTGTTCAGAAAACAAAGGCCTAAGACTTTCCATCTCAGTCATTAGAAAAATACAAATAAGACCCCCCTGTAGTATCAGCACACAAGACTGTAGTATCAGCAGATAAGTATTCAAGTTGTCTGACTTAAGAGGTTACATAAATAACCATCTTCAGTCACTAACAATTTTATCATTTTCCGTGGCTTATGAGTACTAATGTACTATATCTAATAGACCCTTCTGTTGTACAAATAGGAAAACTATATCTGCCCTTTATAAATTAAAGACAAAGCACGTAAAGGACAGCAAACACTGTCATTACCGGAAGGTAGATGTGCAGTAAAGTGCACAATTATCTGGCATCTAGTAGCTAGCCATTGACGTTGAGAGTCCCAAAAAAAAATCACCAGACAGGCAAAAACATGAGCCCATGCATAGTATCTATCGAGTCATGCCAAGACATGCCAAGACCAAGAACTAGACAGCATGAGCACAGGGAAAAGAACATAGAAACAGGATTTTTACAACAAATGGTACTCAAGGACACTGGTCCATGTATTTGTGCGCGTTGGCTCGCGCGTTAAAGCGCGAGCCAAATAGCGCTGCTCATTGAGTTTTGGGGGCACTTGCGCCCATACAATTTTAAATATTTTTATTAGGGGGTATACAAATTTATAGAGGTGCCCTTACACACTTTCTATAGATGCCCCCATAAAATTAGTAATCCTATACAATTATGAAGGACTATTTTGGAACTGAGTAGTGTGTTGTTAATTTCTGTGATGAAAGTAAAAATGATCATGTATTGATATGAAAATCATAATGAAAAACATTACGTGTTGAGATTTTTGTAATTATTGTATAAATAAGTTTTCCCTATTGATAGAATTTATATTATATATGCTATTAATTTATATGAATAATTGTATGTGTGGCCCCGTAGAAAAAAATTATGGATCCGTCACTGACAGTACGATAAGAAATTTAGCAATAATCTCCAAAAGGAAGGGACAAATTTGGCACATAACTCCACAGTGAAAAATAAGTGAACCCAGCAGATAGAGATATAAGATAAACCACTGTTTTAAAAAACCTCCGCCTAGTCCGCTTAGGTGTATGCCTAGGCCTAGGCGGTACCTAGGCCGCCTAACTAGCACCTAGCGCCTAGACGGTATTTAGGCTGCCCACCTAGATTTTACAAGTGTTTAGGGGAGCATTGTCTGCTTACGTGGATTGCACCCTGTAGGCCTTGATTGTGATTTTGTGTCGTAGCCTACACATCCTCCAAACTCCATTAACCTCTAAATATGAACATCTCCACTACCTCCTCTGACCTTCAGCAAAACCTCATCGACCACCACTTAAATGAAGAAAGAAAAAAAACACCTGAAACCGCTTAGGCGCCCGCCTAGACGACTAAGCGCTGGGCATCAAGTCCGACGCCTAGAAGCGCCCATCGTTTAATGTAACATTGAGATAAACATACTAAATCAGCAAGTAAACCCAACAAGACACTAATGCCAGACAGATATAAAAGTAACGAAAATATAATAAAGTAATTGTATTTCAATTGGTTTATCTGAGAATATTGTAAGATGCATACCTGTGATTCGCAGCGTACAACCTTCATCACACGTTCATTGTATTCGTTAATACTTAGAGGGGGGAATAAAAAGTGCCTCCGAGCATACAACTGCATAATTTGATAACAAACATGGTACATGCATAAAGCAGTTGAACATACAGCATTTTCAAATTAACAGTATTATAATAATACAATTGGTAACCAGCAAAATTCAACGAGAAGAAATGAAATCATATAATATTTTTAGTGTGCTTTTTGTTTTTTATTTTGTTATTTTATTTTTGGGGATCGAGACAGTGCCAGACAGATCTGCAAGTAATCTCCATGGAGGACCATGAATCAAATGGTTTAACCAGGTGCGGTAATGCCATATAACTGTGATGATCCCCAAGAAGATGGTTGCACAAGCAGCTTGTCTGATTAACAAAAGTGACAATGAGACACATATATGGATGGTTCATGGTTCTGGCATCTCAGACATGTGCCCACTTCTTCCTACTACTCACTTAAGTGTCTAGATCGAGCTAATAAATGTAGTACAGTACAAGCACAAACTTCTAAAAATGTTTTTTAAGGAAAATTCAAGATCTAGGAACTGAGGGACTTTTTGATCTTCTTAGACATATTTCCCTGAGAAATTCAACAACATCTTCCAGGAATAGATAATTCCTAAAGGTGCTTGATGTCCATGATTTCAAAAACTGTAAGACTTTAAAATGAGTGATAATAGCTTTAGCTTATATAACGAAATCAGACAATGCAAACAAAATTAGGCCCAGGAAAAAGTGCTACAAATCAGAGATTTGCTAGATACAAATTGCACTGTTTTCGAAGATAAAAAATTTTTATTTTATCGTAGGAGAAATTATTGTATCCAATGTTGCCTATCTCTTCACACTTCCGAGCTGCCCTATTTTCTGACTTAGATACATCAAAATTTATATTTAACTTTTCAAATTTTAATAATTGGATAACTAGCACTAAATATATGATAAAAGAAGAGGTCATGTCAATAAATGCGTTCATAGTCGACTCTTAATTGAATGTAACGAGGTAACAACTATCAGGAGAATAAAGTAGGGTGGTGGAACTAAAAAACCAAAAGGAACTTAGCTATGAACAACCAATAAGATAATAAGTTCAATTATAAAATCATGCCTGCAGATGTCGCTTAAAGAGTAATATGGCAACTAAATAAGAGTTGTTGCATTACAAACCAAAGAAACTCAATTGTGAATAGCTTAAAGGTATGATATTAGTAAGCAGAAGGAAGCAGATTGCTACCACATACATGAGAATTGAATTTGAAGAGGAAATTTAGGATTGAACAAAGGTTCATATTTTCAAACAAAATCAAGATCACTCCAACATTACCTCATATATGCAATCCCCAACATATGCTAGAGATGTTGCATTGTAAATAGATCGAGGTTTCTTTACTTTAGGTGCAACCGGCAACCACCTCTCATAACCTAGGTACCGCTCGTCCAATTTTGCTATTTGAAAAAGATATATCAGGATCAAATCGACATGGAAAAGATTTCCTAGCGGGTGAAAACTCCGGGAATGTTTAATAGCTAATATTTCAAAAAGATAAAAGCAAGAAAACTATCTGCTGCTGCATTTACAAACAATTTTCAATGATTATCATCTTATACTACAAAATGGATTATTAGTCTTCAGCTCAAGGATTGCAAAATGCCAACAAATCAAATCAGTTCCCCTCAAATTTATCAAATTTCATTATCCAGCATAAACATAGCAAAATCAAAATTGCCAATGACAGACCGAATTAAATAAATAAAAATACTAGTTTTAACATTGTCCATTATAAAATTTGCAACACATTTTCACTAAATTTAGTACTAACAATCAAATGCCGCTCTCAGCATTCAGCACCAATATGTTAGGAAATGGACCAACCTTCCGATTATCAATTGGAAGTAAATGAAACCACCAATGCCAGTGCACGATCAATTGGCATAAACTACGCACTACAATTAAATGATAGCGGATTAGGAAAGTTGAATTAAAACTTTGATAAAATTTCCCAACATCAATTAATTCTCCTTGTTATTCACCACCTAACTTTATAATTTCACAGAATTACAGCTAAAACGGACCCAAACACAAATTTTAAGGCAAATTCGAAGTGATTAATCCTACCTCTTTCACTGCGGGGGCGATTGGAGCTGAGGAACTGACAAGGATGCTGCTCCCTCGGCTTCTTCTCGATGACGGCCGTGGAGAACGCCGGGGACTCTAGGGTTTGGGGAGTCGACGATGGGCGAGGAGAATTCTTTAGGGTTTTGGGAAACGATAGGGGTTTAGGGTTTGGATTTGTGTCCCACGACGCTTGAACTCGCGCTGAAGCCATGGCGGCCGTCGATAATGCTGATGTTAAGGCCATCGTTCCGCTTTCACTCTTCCGTTTGATGTTTTCATTTTCGGTTCTAGGTTTTGGGCAATTGTGGGGAACAAGATTTAGAAACAGCTTATCCAGTGCAAAAATGGTAAGGGTGGCACGGGGGCACCCCAACCACAACTCTAACCATACTCTTTCTCTCCAGTGCATCAGACCTCATATAATCTCATCTTATATAATCTCATGTTAGGCCCGATATACCGTAGCAAAATAGAAATAGAGGGGGTGTGGTTAGAGTTGTGATTGGGGGTGTGTCCCTATCATTTTCTAAATTATAACCCTAATCAGATTTTAAGGAGGTAAAATATAAATAGATTAATTGCGCTTAAATGCTCTAGAGTTTTCGCGACCTTGTACTTAAATGTGCTATAGTCTCAAGCTGGAAAAAAAAGTATTAAAAAGTTGCCTAAGAATACCATACAATTAAGAAAAACCTAGATTACGTTACATTTTCTCTATGTCACGTAACAAAGGATACTAATGGGATGTTTGGTTCGCTTTAAAACCCCGTGGAAACGCTTTTCTTCACCTGACACCACCTCCACGTGGGATTTTTTGTTTCCGCCCTTTTATTTTCGCCGCTTTGTTTCGCTAGAGTTGAAGGGGGAAACCGAAGAAGAAAACGCCGTCAGCTCGGTTTTTTTCCTCTCCCCCATTTCCTTCCCTAACCGAGTGAAATCGACGAAAACCCTGGTCACGTCGGATTTTTTCTTCCTCGTTGATTTCTTTAGTGAGCTAGAGTTACCTCCTTGCTCTCCTCCCGCCAGAAACTCCCGCGACCTTCTTTGCACATATAGTTCATCAACATGCATAAATTATCAGATTTGATGCGATTTGCTATGTTATATACATATTTATGGCTATCCGGGTTGTTTATATGTTTTTATAGGTTTCAGAAGATTTTTGGCTAATTAAGGTATGTACTACATAAATTTATGAATAATCAGGTTGTTACATGTCTTGTTTATTTTTTTATTGGAAAACGGGTTTCGTGTGATTTTTTCAATCTCAAACAGGTATATTTCAAGTCAAATCAGGTATGCAGTTCATAACAATTGATTCATTCCATTTCAGGTTTCGTATGATTTCATTAATACAAACAGAAATTTATAATTCATTCGGGATATTATTATTTGTCCATGTTACATTCGAACTTTTATATGATTAAGATTACCTCATATAACGAGCACGAATAATTTTGTATATAGTGGGGTAGTCTTACCATGATGACCATAAACACTTTTTCCTACAAACTTCAAAACCAACCAAACACAATAAAAGTGGGAAAATGTCAAATCAACAAAAAATTTTCCTTTTTTCATGCAAACAAAACATAAGAAAAGTAAATACATTTGTTTTCCACCGTTTTTTATGTGCGAACCAAACCGAAACAATCTATTTCTTGAAAAAGTTTGGAAAACTCAAAACTTCTGTTTCTTTACATGGAATTGCATTTTCCTATATCTAGAAAACAGAACTCTTAAAAACTAAGCGTATTTAAGTGAGGTCATTTACAAATTTTGGGATATTTATATGGCACATTAGGCAAACAAGAGGACACTAGCATGCAATAGTTTAAAAGTTTAGAGTATTCATCTGGAACATTTAAAAACTTTAGGGCATTTTTTGTTTGGTTTCAAAAAGAGGTCACTTAAGTGCAAGGTCAGAGAAACTATTGGGCATTTAAGTGCAATTAAGCCAATGCAAATTCCCCTTTTCTACCATTTGCGTCCATCCTTGAACCCAAACATTAACTTTTTTCTTGCCGATAAAATTATAAAATCTCGGATGAACTTTCAAGTTTTTTTTCTAAAGTATATTAATTTTTATGTTTTCCCCTTAAACTTTGTATACGTGTCTAATACGATCTTTTGTAAGCCTACGATCAAATATTTAACAAATTAATAGTGTGATAGTATTTTTCAGCATTTCTTGTATATTTTATATTTCAAAAAATAAAAATTTTAATTCCTAAAAGGTCAAAAATAAAAGGAGAAGTTGCTCTTTGGTATTTTGTATAACCCTTTGAGAGGATAAACCTTCTTAAGAGTGATGACTCTTAGGTGATTAGAAACCTTAGTAAACAAACCTTAATGAAGAGGTTGTTGGCAAATGAGAAAACCCTAATAAAGAAGAGGTAAAACTCAAAGAAGCAAGGAGAACCTAAGGTATTCTAATGAACTCTTTAGAGCAAGAGCAACTCTGCTGGAGAAGAAGAAAAGTTTGACCAACCCAAGGTAAGAAAAATAGAATAAAAACTTGGAGCTCTTTGTTGTAGGCCAAGGGTCAGTATTTATAAAGGAACCCTTGTTTACATAGTTTTAGGGTCAACGCAATGTTGGACTTACACTGGTAAGTAGGTTACGAGTCATTAGGTTTACGTGAGTTATTCTGGCAGCTTTTCAGGGTACAAACGTCTGATAGATAGCAACTCGGCATCCTTTGTAACAACTTTGGTAGGAGTTATTTTATGCGGTGTTAGTAGTGATGTGTAATTGCTCCCATTGGTTTGCTTTTTTTAACATCACATGATTTTTATACAGGAATTTCGTCTTGCAACGATCTACAGCCTTTGATTTGTTGCAATTTAGTCTACCAGTTTGGTAGAAAGTTTACGAACCATTAACTTTATGGGGGTTCACTATGTAAGTTTAACACCGCATGACTTAGCACCGCGTAAATGTGTCTCAGCCTATTCTTGAGTGAGTTATAATCTAATTATTTCTTTGCCTAGGCCTAGGGCTTTATGACTTTGCATCCTTAGCCTTTTGCCATGTTGGACCCATTAGCCATGTTGGAACAGCCATTTTACCCTCTGTGGACCTCTTCCTAACTTTATGGGATACTTGATCAACGGTTTGATATTTACTCGATTACAAACTCCTTTTTCTTTAACAGTTACTTTGACATCTTATTTATCGCTTTGTCCTTGTCTCGATCTCCAATCTTTGCCCCCTCTCCTTTCACCCCTTAGTTTCTCTCATCTCATCAACATCTTTCTCTTCTTGCTCCCTAAATACCATTATTCTCCCCTTATATCACACACACACACACACACACACACACACACACACACACACACACACACACACACACACACACACACACACACACACACACACACACACACACACACACACACACACACACACACACACACACACACACACACACACACACACACACACACACACACACACACACACACACACACACACACACACACACACACACACACACACACACACACACACACACACACACACACACACACACACACACACACACACACACACACACACACACACACACACACACACACACACACACACACACACACACACACACACACACACATATACACACACACACACACACACACACACACACACACACACACACACACACACACACACACAGATATATATATATATGTGTGTGTGTGTGTGTGTGTGTGTATACACACACATACATACATATGTGTGTGTATATATGTATGTCTGTGTGTGTGTGTAATTAGATAGTTACATTGATATGAGGAATTAAGAGGTGTCTATAAAATTGGGAGATAGGAAAATCCATTTCAAAATTCCATGAGATTTAATGTTTAAATACTCACCATTTAGGTCTATATTTATCAAATTGAATCGTTCACCTGCATCTATAAAACATAATAAAGAGAGATATACACTGAAAAAGCCACATTTAAAAGTTTAAAGCAATCCAACAACTTTCGTTCTCCTTTAAAGTACCATGGTATTGTTGGTAAATTTTTCTCGTAAATATCTCTCTCACCCCACAATTCTAGGAATAAGATAGTTAAGAAGTGTTCTACACCTATAATTGTAAATGAACTAATTTAAAATGGTTATTTAGAAAATAAAACTATAGAGAAATAATAACCATTAAGCTAGATTGTTTTTTCTATTAGAGACATTAATTTTATTTTCTTTAAAATATCTGGTTTTTAATTTATAAAATTGTAACATTGCCTATCAAAAGTCTATCATATTTATATTGTTTACTTTGAATTTTTAATATTTTCTATTAAAACTCTTATGAAATTAATCATATATGGTATTATTTTTTAATCTTTTGTTATTTCTTTTCCAACTAATTTTAAGCCTCATATGACATATGTTTAATTAAAAAAAGATGATTAATTGTAACAAAACAAATTGTGACAATGTCCCAAAAAATGAAAACCCAACATGGTGCAGGCCCTCTAGCCTAAGAGTACCTTTGATGTATATGTATTTCGCCCTAATCACTAATTTATCCTCCCCCTCCCCAGTTATCCCTCATAAAACTCTAGCCACTGTTTTCCCTCATCTCAACTCATTCAGTAGCCTCCGTCACAAACTCTTGTCGCTATCTCTTTTACAAGGGCATCCTATTTGATTTTTATTCTTACAAAAGGAAAATTGGATGTTAATGTTAAAGCTTGAATGTTAAGATTATCAATTATATATTGAAAAGAACCTTTTTTTTACCGATATCAATGATAATTATTTCATCTCCTAAGAGATTAAATAATTCACAAATCAAACTTAGCATCATGAAGATTATGGTGTGCCGGTGAAGACTATAACATACCAATTAATATATCACGTATCTATTAAGGTTAAGTCGTATATATTAAGGTTATGGTGCATTTGCTAAAGTTATGGTGTACCTATTAAGGATATGTTGTACATGTTAAGGTTATGATGTACCAGTTAAGATTATACAAAAACTATTAAAAGTAATAAAATTTTGAGTATATTTAACTATTTCTAACTGAAATGTTTTCAGATATGGTCATGTTAGCTCTCATATCACCTAAAATGCTTATACTTAACATGGAAGGTCATAAAATGGGTTGATTTATCCTATTTCTCCATTAAGCACTGATCCAAATTCTGATTATTAATATACTCAAACAAGCATCCTAATTGTAAACACAAAACTCAAGTTGAAAATTCAAAACTTTTTTTCCAAATTGAAAACTCAAATTGTTGAACTTTAGAT